TACTTTTAATGGCAAAACAATTCATTTCCTTTTTTTACTTGCTTTTTTATTATCCTGATTTTTCCTCTCTCATGCTTTCACCCACATCTTAACAATACATATTTTATAGTGAATAACATAATGAATTCATGACTCTTGGAGAAAATATACATACATACATACAACAAATTATTTCATTTGTTTCCTTATACCTTATAATTTTATATTAATGATGAATAAACATTAAAAATAAGCCTCTTCCAAATGGTATTATTACACCAATTTATATTAGAAGTTATACTTGGAATAAAAAAATTTGGGAAATTTCAGCATCTGCTTGGTACTATATACAAATGGGCTAGCTCTGGATTTATTACATACTGCTGGGAAGAAAACCAAGCAATCATATTTACTAAGCCAATAGAGAAACTTTCCTGTGAAGATCTGAATGGGAATCATATCAAGCTGGTGACGATCACAGATAGGTGACAAAAGTCTTTCTTGGGACGATAAGCCATTAATTCTGCTAAAGGATTTAAAAAAAAATAATTCAGAGATTAGTTTCACCAGTCAAATTTGACCTAGGATTACACTTACTCTTTCATTAAGGTTTTCCTCTTCTGCCTCATATTGAGCATTCAGAGCTGAACATGGAACATAATTATAGTTCAGTGCTCAATGATATAAGATGCTGCACATTCCTGTATCTGTCACATCCAGGATAACTCGCTTTGAAAGGCAAAGGTGTTGTAGTTGCGTCATTCCACCTACTAGAAAGCATAGGTCCTCGCTTGCAGGCATTACTTGAAAACGTGCAATATTTCATAGTTTTATTTTGTGCTGACTTTACTTCTTGGTATACTCAATTCTTTATTCTATTTTCCTTCCACTTCTTTCACCTATTTATTCCACCTATTTTCCTTTAAGCTATTTCAATTGATATTTTATTATTACAGTGTACTAATCTTTTAAAGTCAAAGATGGAGATACAATTGCATCAAAATTACACATTTTCTATAACTGCCCACAATTACACATGTTCTATAAATGCTGCATCATACCACCTACCACTGAGGTCCCAGAGTGGGTGTGAAATGTGACTATCTAATAGTGCAACAGAGAATCAAGGATTTTTACACTGTGGTAAATTTCCCCCCATGTTACATGTCATCTCCCTGACTAAATGCCAGGATGTTTTACATAATTCTGTCTGCCACTGTAATGCAAAGCAGAGAAAGAAAAACAGATCCTTCTTTAAAGTTTTGTCTGGTACATATTTGTGCAGAACAAGTTAGCAACAGAGATCATTCCAACTCTGGGATCACAGTAAAAGAAGAGGGCTGTGTGTAGGCAGGCGCAGAAACAGAGGGAGTCTTAGCTATTAGTTTATGAATTTAGATTTAAAGGAGAATCCATTCTAGTCCTGCCATAGATCAGTGCAGATAATAATGAGACACTGAAGACAATAAATAAATGAATGAGATTACTGGCGCCCAAGAAGAAAAGGCTGTAAGCAGACTTGGCCTAAGACATTGCTTATCCCAATCATGAGGGAGAACTGGATATGGAAACACACCCTGGACATCTACTCTTCTCTTCATAATGCCAGGTAGTCATTTTCAACTAACTGTTGCAATTATAGTTATAAAATCAACATCTCCAACAAGACTGGTCGACAAGACTTTCCTGCTCAGAGCAGAGAGGTAACTTCCTTGAAGGATTGATTATGTTTTCTACCAGCTACATTTAAAGTTTGCTTTTCACCTTCCTCCATAGTTTTATTCATGGTATCTTTAGAATGCAAAGTAATTCTTCTTTGATCCATTATTCACTGGCTTCCTCTTTTCCCACACCTACAGCTCATTCCTTGGGGGTGATTCGGATGGACACAAATTTCATTCTTGTAATTGGAAGTTTGTGGTGTGATCAGTTGCACAGTTGAGGTACTGGTAATGTTGGCATTCTGGTGCCTGTGGCTGATGCTTTTGTTATGTGGTTTGTGATTTGCTGCTTAGAACAATACATGACATTTATAGTTTTGTGCATGCTGGTAGAATCTTCCCATATGGTTCTCCAGGAAAGGAAGCAGAGTGAGGAAGTCTATTATACTAATCTCAAATTAGTGATGGGATCAAGTGTTTAGACAAAATCTGAAATCATCTTAAATTTTATTAACATTGGTATTTAACAATAAGTTTATTAAATATAGTAGAAAAAACTTTTCAGCTCCCTCATATCTTTTAATTTAATCCTTCATTTACAGGTCAAGCTCTCTTTCTACTACACCCTAGGAAAGTGATCCACATTGTTTCAGAATAACGTGTTTCCCGGCATTCAGAGAAGTTCCGGCCGGAAAGTCGGCTGACGGATGGGCCTGCATCAGTCCACACCTGCAGCCTCCTGCCGAGACCTTGCCGCTCAGCTTTGCTGTCAAGAGGGATGCTATGTAAGTCGCTTCAAGGAATGGAAAGACAGATGTGGAGTCAGGCCAGTGATCTCCTGCTATTATCTGATTGCCTTA